GTTTAGAGAGCTGGAGCAAACTAAAAAAACATTATATGCTGGTAAGAAGAGAAAGCTCAAAATAGCACACACTGGGCTTTCTACCTTTGTTTCTGTTCTGTTTTTAAGTGGAAAATTCTCCCTTCTCGCAAAGAAAAAGCAGCACACTGAGGGTAAACGCCCATAATTGCATTTCACGCTGCGTTTTTTGGTCACGTGAAAATTGTGCTATGTCCAATTTTCCTCTTCTGAGGTATGGGGGGGGGGGGAAAGGGAAGGGGGGGGGGGATATTGATCATGTGTGAACGATGTTTTGCCCTAGTTTTAGGGTGTGCGTTCATGGGGGTCCTGAGTCAGCATCGCAAAATCCCATTTTCCCGTTTTCGTGAAAGTTCAACTGGAGAATGAGGAAGCTCAGAATCGCTTGTGGAGAAATGAAGCTTACCACTCTAACCAAGAATCTATGATGTGCTGCTTTGGCGCTGTTCTTCGTTTTCCTAAGAGCCAGGTTTGGAGTAAGTTTTTATCCTACGACGAGTCAGAAGGACGAAGGAAACAACACAAGATGGAGTGGTTTAAGCATCTGATAGTGTTATGTATGCACCTGAGAGACTAGAGGCAGAATAACAGAGTTACAAAAATCTTTGGTTCTCCGACCGCCTTTTCCTCCCTGCACCTGGGTGATAGTACGCCTGATGAGAAGTGTCTACGATTATTAGATATGCATAGGAGCGCGCATAGGTTCTACTCCACGATAGGAAGACACTCTCACGCTTCTCATCTGTTATATGGCATCGTGACCATCGCCAGTGAGCAGTGAGCTATTAGATTGAGATAAGTAAGCAGATAGGAAGTGTATTTACTTCTCGATTATGGTGAACACAGTAGCGAAAGCAATTTTTGCTATCAGTCCCCGCTAAGCGTACACGCATTATTCGCTCACAAGAGTATTCAAGGAATTTTCGGCAAACTGGCCCTCTTGGCCGTAGCTAAAGCTTTTCTCGTGCCATACTGAAGGAGGCAGCTTAGGAGATCAAAAAATTGGTGGAACTATGGTCGAACCACAACTCTGCCTTTGGCTTGCGGCTTATGAATGGGAGTACCTTGGCAAGCTTGGCGCACTGATTTTAATCGTCGCGCGTCGCGCAGCGATAAGGCGCCTAGCGAAGGTGTATGCTTCTGCCACCACGTGTAAGATATCGACCGAAGAGCATTACCGTACTACGGGTTCGCAGGCTACCACTTCGTTCGTTGACTTGTAAAAATATAAGGTTCGTATGCGCGTGGAAAACCCATGAGCAGCATATAATGCTATTAGCATTCACGTTTGACTGGTCCACATACTCTCGTCTATCTACACTCACACAGAAAAGCTAGCCTGTGCCAGACTCTCCGCAAGCTACTAACAGCAGACCACAATACAGCCAATCAATTAGCGGTATCGCACATGCACAGTTTGCCAACTTCGCACTTTCATGCTCTTTTAGAGATGTTTGGGATTACCCATTTCCGCATTTCCAAATTTCAAGTTCCTGATTCTAGTAGAACCATTCTGTTGGGGCTCAGGGCTCGTACAATGTAATGGGCACACGTGGCAAGTTTCCACTACTATTAATTGCACAAGCGGTGTCCTACACTACATGCTAAAATGAAAAGCACTGAAGTGGAAACCCTCGGCACATTGTGAACGCGCACGCGTAAGTAAACGCATGCGCTGTACCACTAACTGATGGGCTAGGTTTAGTTTTAGCTCTTACTCGTGGCCTCTTGCCAGCTCTCGCAGAATCTGACGCGGGCTAACTACACTACTAGATAGCATGCGAGAGGCGATACACGTCCTGCGTTGCATCTTCTGGTGCCTCCGAGGTATGCAGAGCAAGAGGATTGATCAGACTGTGGTATGCTATGCTGCCAGTTGTGTATTTGCATATTGGCTTTTTCTCGCTCTAGCTTTACAACGGAGCAGTTTCAGAGAAAACCGTTCAAAATTTCTGACCTTCATTGCCCGTTAAGTAGGTCAGAGACAAACAAACACTCGAGAAGTGAGATGTAGAGTAACAGATACACACACTCACAGACACAACTACAGTATACACCCTCGCTGCACATGTGCGCCGGGGGTAATTATCGCTCCAGTAATAGAGCTGGTTCAGCTCTGGGGGTTTGCACTTTCTTTTCATTTATATGTACATGATTTTCTAGCTCTGTGCATGCATTGTACCTGTGGGTTCTCAGCATAAATTGGAGGGCGAATATCATTTACTTCCTCTTCTACTTGACCAGCACTGGGAGAAGAACTTGGGCTACATGTGGAAGGAAGATCAGAGTGTTGAGTAGAGCTTTCCACATGTGCCGGTGTGGTTTTTAATGCTTCTATACACTGGCATAGCTGTACAGCATCAGGTCGCTCTTGGTGCTTATCCTTCAAACAGCTTAAAGCAACTGGTAGCAGAGCATTACTTTTGGGAATAGTCTCTATATCTGCTTTACGACGTTTAACTTCTTCGACAGGAACAATAATCTCCCCGGTAGGAGACCTGTCGTCTTCAATGGTAATTTGAGCATTTGTTGGAGATGGAAACTTTTTGGTCATAATTTGAATAAGTAGTACACCAAGTGAAAATATATCAAGCTTTTCAGAATACCGTGGTGCTGTAAGTAGAGCCTCAGGTGGCATGTATACAAGTGTCCCAGGACACTGTGTTACTCGACTGCGGGTCATGGATCTATTGGATTCGGCTATTTTTGCCATGCCAAAATCTGTAACTTTAGCCTGGCAACCTTTCGTCATGAGAATATTGTTGCTTGAAAGATCTCGATGAAGGATTCTATTTCGATGCAGGTGAGCAACGGCGAGTGCGATATCATGGGAAATATTTACTTGCAAATAGAATGGGAGCAATTTCGGTGGCAGCTCAAGAAACTGCGTTAAACTTTGTTGCATCATCTCCATTAGAAGTATTAGATGCCCTGAACTAGGGTCATTTACCATACCAAGAAACTGAACAATATTTGGATGTTTTAGATCGCGCAAAATAGTACATTCTTGATCGAAACGAGAAACAATTGACTTCCCGGTAAAAATAACTTGATGAAGAATTTTAGCAGCACATGCAAGATCATCAAGCTTTGCCTTAACAACATTTCCATAGGATCCCGTCCCCAACAATGAGTCCTCAGACTGGTAAATACGGACTTCCTGGTAGCCATACTGGCCTCCCATGGAGATACACATCTCTTTTGATGCCATAATTGGCGAGGTTTTATCTGTGTCTAAGGAAAAACAGGGCAAGTGTTAGTCACAAAAACTAAGTACGGTAGTACTTATACCGTACTTAATATACAAGTAAATTAAAAATCCTGCGAATTAAAAAAAGAGGCAAAATTATAGGGATGGTATAAAAAGAAAGGGAGACAAGATAGGGATGGGATACATGAGCCATGGTTAATGAACAGATTTGAGCATGCTGACACACTAAACCCCATCATACAATCCCTATATTGTTGCCTAGGTGAAGTATTAAACATTCACCATTACAATACTCAGCACTTACATACAAAAATGTCATGCTACGTATAATACTTAGTAATAGAACCCAAGTGGAGTTTAATTAAAGAGACTGTGGCAGTATAAAAGTAGATGGGGGACAGAGAAAGAATACTTGCTTTAAGTAAACTTTAACCCATATATACTGGCGCATTCCCTATAAGAGTAGCACAAAAGGCAACAATATAGGGATTGTGTGATGGGGATGGGGGTGTCAGTGCAAGACAATTTGGGCATCTTTGTCTCCCTTTGGAACAGCTATCAGAACTGAGTCACTAAAACACCGTCACTTGTTACCGTAGCAAAGAAAAGTAGTAGAGAAAGAAGAAAGGTGGTTTGAAATAACTGGGGAGGCACACTTTAAATGTTCAGCTGTAACACAAGAGGCTTCCAACTTTTGAGGTTTCAATTGAAAGAACAAAACCACTATCTTCAGTTATAGCGACAGAAGAAACCTAAGTCTCAGTCAGTGAAGCCTGATTTAAAGCCAGAAATGAAACCTGAGAAGAGGAGGAATGCTTGTTTGGGAGAAAACAATTATCAATTAAGGCAAAAATGTTATGGCACTAATTTATATTAGAGCGCCGGCGCTTGGGATGGCACAGGTCATGTGGTCCACGCACAAAACGCCTGCAATAGTCTACGTGCCAATATCTAGTCATACTCGGTTACGATTTTTTCGTGTAATCTATTACCACTATCTCCTTGCCGGGACCAGTTAAAGTGCTTAGCTATGAACGTCTCAGGATTCGCCGTTGGTGTGCACAGACATCAAACAATCGCTTCTTTGTTGTCGCATGTCCCTATAGCAGATCGTGGAGCTCTTCTAGCGTGACACTGAACGACACAATTTGCTACTAACTCAGCAGTCGGCAGTTCAGGGGCTGTGCATCCAATCACACAAGTGCGCAGCGTCGTGCGACCTTGATCTTGGCAATATACATAATATTATACCTTTTTTATGCCTGCGTATGTTCAGTCTCGCGGAGCTAGCTCCCTTAGAGGGGCTAGCTCCGTGCTTGGGGAGAAACTTCGCAAGAGCCACGTAGCAATGGATTGCTAGGCACAATGGGTTTCAATAAATTTGAGTGTCTGCGTTACTTCCCATTGTTTGTCAGAGCTATTCATAAAAACTATGCAAACAAGTGGAAAAACCATTTGTTAGGGATGGTTCAAAACATGAACAAGTATATAAGAAACAAGGGGTAATTACGCAGCTAAGACACACAACGCTACATGACACCATCCCTATATCTTTGTTCTATTGATTCATATGCAGATGATATCAGACAAATATTTGGGGATGGTGTCATGTAGCATTGTGTGTCTTAGCTGTGTAATGACCCCTTGTTTCCTACTTTTTCATGTTTTGAGCCATACCTACATCCCTTCATTTCGAGGTACAACCATAATGGCAGTGGGTGGTAGTGGTCAAATGCTTTACATGGCTGGAATAGCTACCACTATTTTATGAAGCTGCTTGGGGATTTTTTATGATTTTTAGGCCTTATTTTAACAAACTTAGTAGCATGTTCCTATTCCTCCTCCATTAAAACAACCAGATATTAATAATTGATTTAGGTCATTCTGGTGGTACGGTGAATAATGGGTGCATGAGAGCTTCTTAGTACGTTCCAAATATTAGCAATCTGGAGAGATTTTATAGAAGTGGACAGAAACCATAAGGTGCAACCGCAGAGTGATAGGTAACTAACACAGTAGGATATTAGGAAAACAATTCAGGACAAAGGGATCAGCATAAGACTACATTAGCTGTACGAATCATGCTCTAGTAATTAATTTCTTTGTCAACAGGGTTTAATGACAAGACATGACCAAGATGTTTAAACTTGTTCGGAGTACTGGAGTGTAATCCCATTGAACTCTATAATGTTATAGGTAGTTTGTTAGCGGTCTTACAGAAGAGTGTAAGCTGGGCCTTTCCAGTACTAAATAGCAGTCCATGTGACGTTGTGTATGAACGGACAGCCGAGCAGAGAGCCGAGGCACAAGGTGCCACCAAACCAATAATTGTCTGCATTACAGAAATATCCAGCAAATATCCAACACCAGGGAGTGACAACTCACACAACAGACTATATATCAAGATAAACAGCAAACAGGATTTGAGACCTTGGCGAACAATATTGGTGACTGTAAAGCGCATTCTGAACTCCACTCGACTTTCATCTGCTGAGTATGATACCATAATAAGAGGATTACTGGTTGAAGTCCTCTTTTCCTTTCGAAGAGTAGACCATATTGAATATAGGTAGCTGCCTAAATCGCTGGAACCGCTGTTAATGCACTGAGAAATAACCATTCCAAGTGTCGGTCTCAGAGATACCTTTTACTAAGGTACGCATTATGATAAGAATTAGAACAGGAAGGGAGAGGGGAGGATGAGGACGAGGGACTGTCAGACAGTCATTGAGAACATTAGAGCGAAATGGATAACGATCAGAGATATTACTGCCAGAATGTAAAGTATGCACCTCAGACACAAGATGTGGACATGATTTTGTACATAATATGTGGTCAATCCGTGATCACATCAGACCAGCATCCCTCTTGTAAGTGTGCTCAATGGTATAAAGCAAGTCACACTATACAAACTGGCTAGTGGACCACCAGGATCATTAAAAACACCTATATACAATTTTGAGAATTAATGTAGCCATGTAGCCATCCATAAGTATTCAACTAATCATCGAATTAGTATTCCGCAGAGAAATTTGCTCAGTCGCAGAGAGAACTTGGCGTGATGTATCCGATGTACCCGATGCTTCTTCGATGAAAGGCCTCTCTACGATGCAAAAAGAGAACTAAACTGAAAACAAAACTGTCAAGCTAGTGCGTCTCGCGGAGAAAACGATTCGGACAAGAACGACTTACAGCCCGACAGCCGCACACCGACCTTACCTTTCCATTGTGGTTTTTCTGCTTGTCAATGGAATACACCATTTAGACGGCCTCGGAGCCCTTTGTAGCGTCTTTGCTGCTCTCAGACAGCTACAGCATCAGGCCCCTTGGGCTCATCGAGGCGCAGTATCATTATACCCCTCCACATCTTAACTCTTACCCCAAATTCCCACAACTTTAACAACAGGCCATTACATCACACAGTATGGTATGCCTTCTGCACATCTATAAACAGAATGCATAATATATCTCCTTCCCCTCCTTTGTACGAGTTCATTCAGTGTATAAATATTTTCAACACTTTACCCTAAAACCAGCCTGACCCTCATGCAATGCTTTGCCATTGTCCAGATGCTTCACCAAACTATCGTTCAAAACCTAGTACACAAAACGACCTTCCCAACCACACCCGCAGAGTGAGGACCCTATAAAGTCCCAGCCTCGAGGTCAGGCTCCCCTTCTCTTGCAGTGCACAATTTTACATGACTTTGACTCGAGAGAACAGCTTTTCTCTAGGTCAGAAGGTCATACCATAAAATTGTGCAGCGCGGCGAGGGGAGCCTGGGCACGCGGGCTATAATCCCATGCTCTCTTATCTCCTCTTAAAACACGGTAACTCTGACGGCCCTTCCTCCACTGTGGTGACACTAAATCCACATGCACACATTACGCTCTAGACATAACAAAAGCACTCGTGAGACGCAGACGATCTCTCATCCTGACCCACGATATGCGTTAGAAGCTTAGCCCCACAAGCCGGCTTGGTCGCACTCACCGCACCGTACTTGTTATGTCTGAGTCCGTTATCACACTGCGCAATCTCTTCCAAATTTATTTCCCTATCCAGTATATTATACATTTTCCACATAATGTGTTGGAAGGTTAGAAAACTTACTCACTTTCTTATCCACTTCCTCTTTGCAACTATCATCAAAGGCTGTATCAACACTACATGTGCCAAACTGCTGATAATGCCTCTTTAACACATCTAGCCTAATCACTGACACCCCAGCACTATTGTTATCCCCTTTGTCCTTCTACCAACAAATGGCAAACATTCTTTCCTATTACCTTTAGTCAAAATCTTAATTTGCTCTTTCTACTATATACTCATTCGAAACCTCAAGCTTCTTTTCAGCTACTACATTCTTCACCTCCCTATGCAGTTTGCTATATTTCTCCCAAGGATTATCCCTACCCTTAAAAAATTGTAAACCTCCCTTTTATCTTATGCTTAATCTCATCATCCCACCACCGGACTGCCCTGACACAAAACGCCATAAAACAGAGGACTATGAGCTGTGAGAGCCAGCGGAGTTTTCCATGGAACTTCCTGCGATGTATAGACCAGATCCTTACCTTTCCAGTGTGGACATAGCCAAAGAAGCAGATTCTCGGATTCCATGAAACCAGTGGATACACAGCTGATACTATGCCCGTGACTATGGATTGGCCGTAGTCTCACTGTACAGCCTCTGCTACGGTCGTGTTTGCCTGCATCAGGTGTTGAGCACTTAAAACCAAGGGTTCGACGAGTACAGCAACCATCCACCGGGCGACATGCTCTAGAGTCTCTCTGGCAAACGGCATGTGCTCACAAGATGGTGCTAGATGTGCGTGGAGTGGCTGCCCTCTGCTCTTCTGGAACTTTTTTGTGATGCTAGAACTAGTGCCATGCTTCACCAGGTCAGCTAAACCCTCAATGGAAGTAGCTGCATTCTATCCAGCCTAGCTGCCAAATGGAATGAAAAGCACTAAAGTGCAAACCCTCGGCGAACTGCGCATGTGCGGTACCACTAATTGC